CAGTGTACAAAGCTGGTTTCTTTTCCAAACTGTTTTTCCACCTAACATGTAGGCATAGCTTCTGCTGTTCAGATATTTCCTACAAAGGCTTTTGAGATATTTTGTATCACCGCATATAAGCAGTCTTCAGTAAGCACTTTTGTCTGCTCTACTGTTATGTCCTATTAATACTTTTTTAATTTTTTTTTTATTATTTAATGCCTGCTGGTGTAAAAGCCTGACACCCTCAGAAAGCTGAGCAAGTATTCCTCAACCTATGGGAAGCAGAGTGCACAACGCTATAAGGGGTACTCTGAAGCTTTGGTGGTTGTGCAACCAGCAACTGGACAATGGTGGCCAAGGAAGTAAATACTGGGTAAGCAGAATTCTCCCTCCCAAAAAGAGAAAAGCACCCCTTCCCCTCAGACTATGACACAGAACAGTCATACGTGTCCACCACTGCCAGCCAATATACAGCCCGTTCCCATCTTGCACTGAGGCTGTTAACATCCATTCCCTCTGTAATCAGAGGGTGTGATGACGCAGGAAATCAGAGGTCAAGTAACTAATCCAGAGGACTCTAAAAATAAATATAAATTATAATCCAAAATTTCTGTAAAAATGTAGTAGCAGGTAGATGGAACTCCCATTGCAATAGTAACTGCATCACTGGGGTGATACAGCCCAAGAGCGAGCACTGTCAGAAGGCTCCTTTCAGTTCTGTACCTCACAAAAAACACACACAGCAATGGAACAGAAGAGAAAATGAAATTAAGAAAGAAAACCACACCACCAGCAGAAGCTGAAACTGAAGAATGCCATATTGCACATCTCTTACTCCAGATGGAAACAGAAGCTGCACTACTGCGGTTTCTTCATTAAGGTGATATAGTGAGTATGAGCATATGGGCTTTTACTTCATACAAAAATGTAAGATTGTGTATAAATGTCCAAAGCTTACCTGTTCTTCCAACACATCATGCTAGCAGAACTACAAGGATCCCATTGTTCCCTTCAGCTGCAGGGCAAGAATCCAACCCACTTCAAGGGATAAGCTGGCTGTCTCCAGGAGAAGCCACACACACCAGTATGCTGCAGCTTCAAGAGGGACCAATCTTTTGGCTCTGCTGGCTCAGAAACAGCAATCCACATCTTCCTCATGAAAGTAAGCATTTAAGCCTATAAAGCTTCAGCTTATCCAATGTCAAGGAAACTTATGAAAAAAAAACTTACATGAGGTCCAGCATTAGAAGAAATCAGTGTATTGAACCATTATCAGAGTATTTGTCACAATACCAAATGCAGGAATCAATTTCAGTTTCAAAATTTTTGTTGACATTGTTTGACTTGGTCACAGGTATGGCACAATGTTAGTCCATTAATATTCAGTGTTAAAACCCTTATTTCACAAAGCTTGATTCACTCACAGCTTTGGATCAGTTTTAGTTTGGTGCAAATCTAGAAGAATCATTCTCATGTAAAATCTGATTAACAGCAGTAGGAACTGGGATTATTCTCACCGATCAATTCCTAAACACTATTTCTTCCAAGTAAATCAGATCCTTAAGAAAAGCTTCCTGAGTTTTCATATAATAAAACTTGGGATTGTATTTCCTGCCAAATCTGCCTTACTGGCTGTCCATCTACTTTGTTTCACTGAGAAGTCAGTGCAGAAAAATGAACTTGTTACATCACTAGACTCTTGCTTTCCCCTACCTATACTTTGCCCCCATTTCAGATATCAGCAACCAGCACAAACAAAAGTCAGTCCACCTCACTTGTCCCAAGTGATGGAAAACTTCACTTGCAAACAAACACGAGCATGTCTGCAGGTTACTCATACAGTGGCTATGACAGCCAAATCCCCAGAAAAGCCCCTGTAACAGTCCAGAGTGTGCTCATACAGCTTAAGGCTAGATGATATGAATTACTAGGACCTATTACTGAAGAATTGGCTCATGTTAGTCCCTCTTGTGCTTTTCCTTCCACAGATTACCTTAATTGTCATTTATACTGTCACAAAACTGGGAAGTTGAAATTTTGCGTTGAATGCCCATATTTCTATCAAAATAAAAGAGTTTAAGTCTAACTCAGATTAATACATGTATGTGAGAATTACTTAGAGGAGGGGGAAAAAAAATCACACTGCATAGCTTACACTAGGACTTACCTCCCAAAACTCAGGCACAACTAAAATACATCTACCCTACAAATGAAAGGAATGGAACAAAAGCTTTACACTATCAGCATTCATCCCTCAAATTGTCTTCTCTACGTAAAAATTTGTGTTACAGCTTTGAAAGACAAATATAAACTGATAATCAGATACAAGGAGGCTTACATGCAGGCTGGATTGAAGCAAGTACTGCCAAGGGACTCCATCCTGCTGTGTAACCCACTGATTTCCACATCTGCTGTCTCTGCCCAGTCCAGAAAACACAGGTCTCTTGCAGTTCCACAGGCACACATGCATGCATGTTGCTTTAGTGAGCACTAAGTGTTATAGTTTCCAAACAAAAGACACTTACAGTAACCTGGTACATAGATGCTTTATTTCTGACATTAATGTGTATTGTGAGACTCTCTTACATAAAATAAGAGTTTGTAGTACAACAAAAACTAAGATAAACAAGACATTTGTTGCACGTTATGTCAAACCTTAGAACAAAAATATGGTGTAATATGTATTTAGGTTTCATGCAAGTTTGGCTGCTGCATGTACAATTTACCTATAAACTGAAAGAAATGCAAATGCACACAACATTCAAAAAGTAATAAGATGCCTGACATATGAAATATAAAACCTTCCTGCTAAAGCAACAAAGTAGGAGTTAACTAAACGATCCAACCAATACCAACACAAATTATTACTACTTACCATAAATCTATGCTTAAACTTGGTATAGGTAGCTTTGATGATATACCATTTCTACTTCAATGTACCATCCAGATTCTAGATAGTTATTCTGTCTTAATGTTTGATTTTATTTTTTTTTGTCAATTAAATGCTGTCTCCAGCACCACATGTTGCTGTTAAATCCATTCTGGTAATGCACACCTAAATCTAGTACTGCCAAGAATTCCAATTGACTCTTCTAAATTTTGTTAGGTGAAGAGCAATCCTGGCATGATGGGCATTTTCTGATCCCTTGCTTATAATAGGATTCCCACCCCCCAAAAAATTTTGACATGAATTAAACACCGCTAAAAATGTTTGTGTCTATTACTATCAGAGCCCATATCAAAAAGCTCATAAAAACAAGGATTGTATAAGCTTTGAGATGCTTTAAAAAAGTTTAAGAACCCATTACCTTCCTTGTGCCGCTCATCATGTGTTAAAATTCTCCATTTATTAATTCTTCTCTACCATCTTTGATATCAAAGTGTTAGGAACACTTTCCACACCCTGCATAGTACTGGTTGATCTCATAAAGTTAACTAGAGAACCTGACATCATGTAATTTTACATACAGTGCATATGATGCTCGCTCTTTCCATCTCTCATAGCAGCAAGCCGATTCTGCCACGATCTGTAGCAGCACACCCGGGAGTGGAGAGGAAGAGTGTTTGAATTATAAATAACTAAAACTACAGTGTACAATTCTATTTACCTGTCAGTATCTGTTGAGAGCACTCCATTACAACTTGCTCAAAATTAACTACACAAAAATCTCTACAACAAAAGCAAACCAAAACATTCCTTCAAAACCAAAAATAAAGACATAAAATAAGTGCAAATACCTAAAATAGGCAACTAAAGCAAGTGTTGTGACCTGTATACCTTTAAATAAGGACAAAGATTTTTCATAAATAAAAGAATGTTCTCTTTGCTCTTCAAACATTTAGTCAGTATATAATGGTCAAAGTTAAGTGCAGATACAATGTTTTGAGATCCAAGGTGCCAAGTTTCTTAAAAAAAAAAAAAAAGATACATATTGTAAATGCTTTAGTTTTTAGTTCCTATGCAGGACAAAGTACTCCTCAGTCACATATAAGACCCCACCATTTCTTTCTAAATATACTTAAACAAGGTACAAGAACAGTTGCTGTATAATACAGGAATACCTTGTAATTATGTTGTAGACCAACATGATTTTAGGGCTATAGTGCAATCTTTATGCAGATGTAACATACAGTATAGATTCTTACACTTCACCGCTGTAATTCTTCTGCTATTTAATATATTTTAAACTTGTCCTTTTTCCATTTTAGCTGTTTTAACAGGAAACAACATTGGCCTCTAGACAACCTGCATACATATAAATATCTACATTTAAGCTTTGAAATGGAAATAAATTATAAAAACAGACTCCTTTCCAATTTACAAAATTTTGCTTGTTCCTACATACTGTACAATACATTCAACAATCATCTCATTTTGAGATTTATGAAGAAAATACTGATGCTTTACACTAAACTTAATTCACCCCCTCTGCCTACTTCTAGTACCATTTGCAAATAAATATATTTAACACTGTAGTTAATTTCACTGTTTTGCAGCATACCAAAAGAAATTAGTAGTGCAACTTTCTATCCTTCCTTTGTACTCCTTTCCATTGTGTTTCTTTATATACTAGAAAAATGCTACATAAGCAAAAGCACATTCAGTCATGTATGTTGCTCATTTGGAAACCAGTAACAACCTATAAACCTAATCTATGTTGAAAATGCTCTAACAGATAAAAAAGCGATGCAAGTCAAAAGAATAAATATGAAAAATAGACCTAAAAACTGTATGTTGTCAGTACTGCAATGTATTTTACCCTTTATATTTTAGGGGGTTACTCTTTTAATATCTAAAAAATTCATTGCAGAACTGTTACGGTATCCCTTCGTAAAGAATGCAAGAGCTTGATGTCTGTTCTTTGTCAGTTAAAAGAAGAAAGGAAGCTTTAAGGTAGATTTAAGGTTTCCCTTGGCAGACTCTTCTCAAAGACTTAATTCCCGAGTATCCCACAGGAATAGCCTTCAACATTGTTTCAGTTTCAATGGCAAGAGATGGTTGTCAGCTGCAGTGACCATCACAGTATCAGAGACCTTGAATTGCTGTTGGTGGCAGTGTATGTGCTCAGATACCTTCTTGCTTGTTCAGTCATGATAAGCTGGTCTTCTGTTTTTCCATAAACAACTGCCTCCCAGTCACGATTTGGCTGCATAAAATAAAAGAACCTTTTAAACAGAATTTTAACAAACTAAAATACTTAAGCAATTCTCATGCAATGTTTCAGAACAGTAATAAATTATTAAAGCCGAGCAATAGTATATTTTACTGAGAAGGATCCAGTTCTACAGTACAATACCTAAAACTTGTGACAAAGCTCCCTCACCACCCCCTAATCCAGCTTCCCAGCAGTGCACCTGGCTTATGGTTCGAGTTCTAACACACAAAATGAAAAATATTCTTCAATACAGTCTAACCACTTCAACAATTAATACATAAAAGGGAAGCTAATTAAGTTATCTTCTCTTTCAATATCTTCCTCTTTAAATGTGCTAAGTTCAACAGAAAAATACATTACTGACAGCTGTCTGGAAACACCAAGGAAGGTAAAATGATGTGGGAGCTGAAAAAGAAGATTGTGAAGAACTTTACTGAACCTAGTGACAGCTGTGGAAGAACAGTCATATTTTTGGGGGGATATATTAGAAATGGCAAAGGAATTGGAAATAACAATGATGAATGGAAGAATAATTAAGCTACTAGTCTTGGTTTTTCCATTAAGCAAAGCCTACATCTTCACATGAATCTTGAAGTGATTCGTTTCAGCTCCAAATTGGACCTGACACTGGCTGATTGTAGCAGGATGAAGAATGCAAGATCCTCTCCCTCCCACATGGAACTAGAAACTGATCCTTGGGATCAGTTCCACATATTGATTCACAAAGAAAATTAGCTGTTTGAGCTTCTCTATAAATTTAGCAGAACTTGATTCATTGAAGAATCTTGGGGTTAGAGAGGCCACAAAACTGAGAGAGAATTTCTCTGGGGAAAGAGAAAAGGGAAAAAGATGGTTCAATGAAAATATTTGGGAGTATACTATGACTAAGCTCCCCTTTTAAGTATTCTGAAGGCCATTGTCCTAGGTTGACTGTATGATGCCTTTATCCCCGATTGTCTGCCCTGTTTATGTTGAATAATAAGTTTTGCACCTTTAAGGCTTGTTCCAAGGGCGAAGGGGGGAGGGAAGAAGCACGGAGCTTGTTTTCAAAAACTGTACTCCCTTCTCCACATTCCTGCTCCTGGACTGTGTTGTCTGCGGACGGACAGACAGCGAGACAGAGCTCTCCTTTGCTTTTCTAGTTAGTTTTAGCTAGCTGAAGCAAAGAAGTTCCCTGGACTGTGGTTTGTTTCTCTTTCTCTGGACTGCACACCAGGAGAGCAGCAGCAGCTCACACCTGTGGCCCAGCGGGCCAGGCCTGGGCCGTGGCATTTCCAGTGCCGCAGGCGCTGAACAGAGACTGAGTGAGCCCAGCTGCAGCCTGGGGGGGTTTCTGAGTTTGTCTCTCTCTTGGAGTGGCAAGAAGTTTTATTGCTTAATGCTGTTTAAGTTTGCTTGTTTAATAAAACGTTTTTTTTCCACTTTTCTCCAAGGAGGTATCTTTCCTGAACCAGCTGGGGAGAGGGGGCGATAGAATCTGCTTCCTAGAGGAACCCCCTTTTGGGGGTTCTTTCCCAAATTTGCCCTGAACCAGGTCAGCCATACTTCTAGGTCAGATAGATGTATTCACCTTTGCTGCAATTCACAGCAAAATAAATTTTTCTTTTTTTAACTTTTAGTATCACAATTGTTCTTCTTCCTCATAAGAAAAGATGAGAAAGCAACACTGTTGTCTCTCTACTTAAAAGCATAATTGTTAAAGCAATTAAGTAAAATATTGAAGATCAGACTCCAGGTGTCCCGTCTTCTGAGGTTTTCTTAATTTTTTCATTAATACAGAGCTGTAGATATTCTGAGAAGACCAAAATATCTTATACATTAATTCTCTATGGGACAAACTGGAACTGGTACAAAGCCAGGTCAAAGAAATCTCTTCTTAAAGCTGGTGATCAGGACAGAGGGAAAACTAGCTTCAACTACCATTGTGGAAAATATACATATGTAAAAGAACAGGCCCGTTACAAGAACAATTACCAAATAGAATCTGTGGATAAACTCTGCTTAATGAATCCCACTGGGCTTATTATGAAGAGTAAGCACCAGAAAAATTTGAGAAACTAAAGTCCTAAAGAAGTCTAGTTTGCACCAGGTCAAGTTTTCTAACTCATAGTCTTGGGCACCCAAATCTGTTTTGTTGGTCTCCGCTACCCTGTTTTTTCCCCCCCCACACACACACCTAAATCTTAGTGAAACATCAGTTTGTTTCACTAAAACAAGGTGTGAAACATCAGGATTGTATTTAAAGAACTTAGCTATGAATAAAAGCTTTACAGAAAAATGATCAACTTACAAGAAATAAGAATCATGGAAACACTGAAACTGGATCACTGGTTTCAACAATTCTAGATATTAGTGCAAGACAGAAATAGAGCAATACAAAATTTCTTTGTTAACCCACTAAGAGAATTAACAAAATTCTTTGCATCCAGACCTGAAGAACTTTCTCCATTTTGACATTTTTTGTTGTACATGCATTCAGTTTCTTCTTAATTACAGCATTTGCTTTGATTGCTGGATTTGTATCCTGTTTTTCTGATGTCAGGTTACATCTGTTGTCCTGTATTTCCAACAATGGTGTCATTAATAAAGATGTGGTATATGCATTTTTTGACTATTGACAAAAAAGAGAGTAGAGAACAGGAATAATAATTAGTAATCAATGAAAAAAACACTTCAAATGCTGTGTTCAGAGAAGTCAAAATGTAAATAAAGTAAATACTATCAGAAAGACCCTAGGAAAGAATATGAAAAGAAAATGTAATGGACAGTATATGAAGAATTAGCCTGGTCCATACTGGGATCCATAGTACAAGGAGTTGCTAACATGGTTTAGGTATCACTGAGTAGACAGTTTCTTTACTCTAAAGCCATGCCACTTCGACACATTTTGTAAAGAACAAGATTTGATAAAGTTGTAACTACAGAACCGTTTTAAAGAGAAAAAAAAATCACTTTCATGTCTAGGACAATCCTTGTAAAACAAGGAGACTGGAGTCAAAAAAGTAATATCACATCAGTTTTGAGGCAGAGGAACTGCTTTAAGAACTGAAATAACCACTGGACGGATCATGACAGAAGATTTTTATATATTGGTATTGTCTATGGAAATAAAAAGAAATTAATCCAGCTCCAGTATACAAAAGTGGAAGACAGATATATGTCAATTTTAGAGACCAGGAATTAGTTCACAGTAACAGTGGCAAGTATCTGCTTGCTTGTAAAAACACTCCATTAAACTACCTTTAAGTGTTCATTCCACCTCAGACCTTATTCCTAAATTATCATCATATGGACACACAATTTCTACTTTCAAAACCTTATTAATTTTTAAAGAAGATACTACCACTGTCTTTCTTGCTAGGAATGAATGTTCTTGTTGCACCAGCATTCTTTATGAAAATTAAGGAAAAATAAACTTTTCCCCAGTCCCCAGACTTTAATAGACTACAACATCATTGTGTATCTTAACCTGGACTCAGTGATCCACAATAAACAAGACATCACTAAGAGAACAGCAGGTATTTTGGTCATTACTGGAATGGCTGCAAGCACTGCTGCTCCTCCCAAGAGATGTTCCTGGGGAAGCAGGCAATTCCCACTAGGTGGCAGAGCACCCAATACCCAACAGGAAGACTCCAAGGCTTGGCACAGAGTCTAAGAGGCACTTCAGAAGGGAATTTAGAAAACCAGCTAGAAAGGGGTATACCCTAAGCACCTTACACAAGCTTTTTAAGGACCTTGGCTCCTACATCCTGTATATAGCCTTAAACCTAATCAAGAATCACAGACATTTACTCTTTAAGCATTAAACACATACCTGCATTAAGAACTCATTAGAACAAAGTTCTCCTACAAGACTAAAGAATAAACTATTCAATTACTCCACTGAAAAAATCATTAAGCTTCTTTTTAAAGGAAAGAGGGACCAAAATATCCTCATATCTCACTTCTTCATGTCTTGGTCGTTGAGAGAGAAGTATTCAAATTCCTTTAGGCAGAGGAAGCACATAAACTTCATCTTTTACATGCTTGATATTTCTTAAAAGTATTCCCTTACTATGTGAAGCAGGAAAAACATGCTGCCTAATCTGCAATCAGGTATTTTCAGAACACATTTGCCAGACTGTCAAGCATGCACAGCACAGGAGAAAATGTCATCTTCCTGGTATATTACAGAAACCTTCAGCATGCTGTGTATGCTAAAGTTTATAGGCAACCACCATGGAAACAGCTTTGCTACAAAACTGTAACACATTCACATTATTTTACTCTGAAGGACTGAAAGGAAAAATTAATACATGAATTCAAGCCCAATCCTCATCTATGTCTCAAGTGCTTAAGATAGTATTTCAAACTTAAGGTACCTTTCACTTTCTAGATGCATTAATCTAGACAATTTCAATCCAAAAATTTATTTCAGTGGGTAGAACAAAAGATACACAGTTCCATATTAATATTGCTGCCAGTGAGGCTCTTCAGTCAGTTTAGTTTAGTTTAATTCTTACCTGTACATCTAAACTATTATCTTCCGTCAAACGCTGGGCCCCAAACTCTTCTTTTTCCTGTGGATCTAGGACCAGTGATTTTCTGACTTTTTTAGAAAAGTTGTGCTGAAATAAACATTTTGCAGAGAAAAATTGTAAATTATTATTTAAAAGCAGTTATTACCTATTTGAGATTACTATTGTCATATTACCTCCTGCTTGCAGTTTTTATACAAAGTGTCATCTTCCTCCTTGGGAAATATATCTGTTCCAGTTTCCTCTTTCAAAACTTCCCTAATGTCTTCCTCCGAGAAGGCAAGTGGTTGGGACTAAACATTAATTGAAATTGAAGAAGAAAATACAGGAAGTCTATTAGTGGCCAGTTCTTACAACACTCTACTGTCAGCTAATGTAGGCCAGAAAAGAGACCTCGCAAAACATAGCAAGAAAGGACCTAAGCTAATGTAGTCTAAAACCACAGGGTTACATTCCAATGCCATGAAGATTATTTTAAGTTCATTTTATTCCACATTTTTAGCCAGATAAAACATATATACGCACATAATGTCTCAAAAAATGCAAGGTAGCACTGAAGAAGACAAGCTACTTGTTTGCAAATGGTTATCCACTGATAAAAGGGATAGAAGTAGTTGATATATACTAAATACCTACATAAACACATATATGTATATATACATGCATAAAAACATACTAAAAAACTGTACTAGAAATGTGTAACTGTTGTTGTGAAATGAATTCATACCAATTTTAACACAAATCTTTGAATAGGACATTGATAGTCCTAAGTACAGTACAGAATTTCACAGAAGCCATACAGATGGCTCCTTTGTGTACCAACAGGAGAAGAATTCCCTTAAGCCCTCAAAATTTGATTTTGAACAGGAGGTTAATAGTGGACAGAAACAGGAATGCCAAACCACTCCATTTGCATAGTGAGGGACTGTGAATCTGTAGGGTAACACAGATGGTGCCAAGCCCTGTGGCAAAGTCTGAGCTACGTTCTGTGTTTGCAGAAAAGAAGCAGTCAATATATATTGGCTGGAATCTTTTCAGAATTTGAAAAGCATATGTCTCCTGAATTCCAAAAGTTATTATGTATTAACATACCTTAGCTAGGCTAGGAAGAGAACAAAAATTGAATTCATTTGGAACAAACTAACAAAAAAAGGTAACATTACCCAGTCAACAAAACAAAAAGAAAGTATTTGACAGCCAGCAGAACCAGGATCATGAACTACTATACTATAAAATTTTGGGGTTTAGGATGAAGAAAACTGCAAATATTACTCAAGATTATCACATTGTGGTAAACACCTAGTTCCAGTCCTAGTGCTGTAGAAGTACCAAAATCAAAGAACAACTCAGCTCTCACATAGTCCAGAGGCTTCAAAGATAATGCAGTTTTCAAGTGAAATGTGAAAGTTGTTTAAAATAATGAGGTCAGTCATATTCATCTACAGCAGTTTGCTCTTACCGGACTACCCAGCTCAAGAATCCACACCCATTCATTCTCTGATTTACAATTTTTCTTTTGAAAAAAAAGGGATCCTAAAGTATTAAAATTTTCAGGCAATTATACAACCATCTTGTAAGAGATGCAGTTTTAGCAAAGATAGGCAAATTTAAAACAACTCACAAACGTGAAACTAATGCATTTAAAATTGCTTTGGATCAAATTATTACATGGACCAAATTACTGTCCAAGAAGACAATACCTTCATAGTACACTGAAGGAGACAAATCTAACAACCAGATCCAAAGCAGTTTTGATTGACATTCTAGCTGTTCTCCGGGATAAATAAATGCTTTCTAAGATCACACTGAGGCTTACAATTCGGCAAAACCAAGAGGGCATTTAGACTTCAGCAAAGAAGAAAAGGAACAGTATCATCACATACCATAAGTCTGAGAGGACCATACTTTTTTTCCTGAGCAGCCAAAGCATTTTTGAAAGGAGTTGGTGTCCTTGGTGTTGAACCCAAAAGAGATCTTCTCATTGTGGGACTTCTAAAACTATCCAAGCATAGAAAAGCATTCATATGTGCATTTTAACATTTTAATATTTTATCATTAGCAATGTAATAAAATTAATCTAAGAAACATTTTTAAATACCTTCATTTACACAAAAGATACCACCATCATGCATCTGAAAGTACTAAGATCACCATAGCATTACCCCATGTGTATTAAAAAGTACCACCACCAGATGTTTAATGCAATAAACCTACCCCACATTTTCCTTTTGATCTTGTGGTGTCATTTCCTTGTGTAGAGGAGTTGTAATAAGAACTTTCTGCCCACAGATTGGAGTAGATGTAAATGCAGGATTTTCAAAGTTAAATTGTTCATTTCCAGAGCAAGTATTGAAAAACTAAGCATAAGAAGAAAAAAAAAAAGGCAACCTTAAAGGACAAAATTTCACCATTGTGCTACACAGCAAAAACCCCCAAATTACATACATATATCTGAAAGACTTTTACTGACAAATCCCAATACTTAATTCTTGACTTACACTTACTGCTGAAACCTTGATTTTCTTCTTAAAATACCTACTCCTTAATTAGGTCACAGAGAAAAAAGATCTCTATCAACAGTTATTTGCATGAGAAAGTGTGAGCTGAGACACAGGTTGCCACTGCTGCTGCCGCCCTCTCCGTCAGTTTTCAAAATGCAGGTTAACAATATCTTTTTAATATATTCACACTTATGCAGATGCTTCAAGAAGTTTTTTGACATATTTATTTAGGCTGCAATGTACTACTAGGGAAGAAACTATTTACAATTTATAACCAACCCACCCACCACAGTCTTCATGTTTAGTCATATTTAAAAATACATTCACCTGTGATGGAGAAAATGGTAGTGTTTTCACTGGTGTCCGCTTTAGTGCAACATTGACGGCATCATTACACAAACCATCGCTCAGATCACTAACTGGGGACTGCCCAACACGCAATCTCTTTTTCTTTCTCAGGATAGCAGGTGGATTGCTGAACTTCGTTAAGTTTGAGGTTGTTGAAAAAACTGTTTCCTCATCCCCACTGATGTTGCTGTGGTTTTTGCCATCAAGCATAACGCCGACATTATACTGGCACTCAGCAGCCCCTTCACCGTGTTGAAGCCGCATTAGTTTTACTGGAGCTGGCTTGACAGGGGATACAACAGCCTCGGAAAGCTCAAAACAGGTATCACTCCATGCTACCGGATCCTATGGGGCAAGGTGCAAAACACAAGCAGGCTTATCCAAGAATACTTGAGAATGTCCAGGCCAATCTATCAGCCCTCTACCACCACAAGCCATATACTGAATTATTCTCTGTGTCTTTCATACGATCATAAAACACTGGATATTTTAAGACACAATTCTTTTAAAAGAGGCAATAAAGCACTTGATAAGGCAGAAATTATAGATGAATACAAAAGAAGGTAATTTAAGAGTATTTTACACATATTGTGCAAGTTGACATTCTAATTAAACACTGGTTTTTAACAAGGAATACAAACTTACAATTTCCATAAGGTCTAGTGCCTCTGCAAATTCTGGAATGGTTTGTAGAGGTGTTAGCATTCTATTTGCTTCTACACCCAAATACTTAGGTGGTGAATTCTGTTGAACAGGTGTGATGCGGGTCTCATCCATGCTGTAGAAATTACTTGTTTGTTCCTCAAGGCTACTTAGTGTATTAGGCATACAATCCTCCATGATAAAATTTCCAGACCAACAAGACAAGCTTCCAGCTTGCTAAAAAATTATGAGAAACATGTTAATCTATTCAAATTAGAGGTTGAAAAGAGTCAATTATGTGACTGCAGGGTGGAAAAAAAGTAGCGTGTGGAAATACTAAGCATAACAATTAATTTTGGCATTTTCAAATACTAATTATCTGTTTCAATTAAAGACGTTACTCTTCTTTTTACATTAACATGCTCAACATTCTCAAATTGTGCAAGATTTTTATCTTACCTCGCATTCATATCTTACACACACTCATAACTTAGGTAATTTTAGGTAGTATTGGAAGCCATCCCTGACGCAAGTTTCCTGCATACTTGAACACCAGTATATTATGAAGTCACCTTCAGTACAGAACACTGAACTTCTAATTTTGAGATTAGAAAATGTTCCTACAGTGTGAAATACTACTTGTTTGATCTGGGGTTTTTCAATGCATATGTTGCATTAATAGTTAATAAACTTCTAAAAGGTTATCCCACTTCAGTAGATTGCTTTGTACCCAAGAAACAAATTTTAATTTTCACTGGAAATCTAGAAGCAAACCAGATTCTACTAGATAAGCATAACTGCACTGTTTCAAATGAATGACAGGAATAACTCCACCATATAGAACTATAAAACCTGCAGCTCACCTGTAACCTAATGATCAATTTAGTTGGGTTAGTCAGGTGTCTGTTATGCACAGCCCTCTGAAGAAATCAGTGACCACCATCTGCAAGTCACCATAATTCTACAGAATTAAGGAAAGTCCACTGAATTTACACACAAACTGTGTACAGTGCATATTTATTTAGTGTTTGTCATGTCCAAATGTGGATATTAAGTATTGCAAGCACTCACACTGAAGTTTGAAGGAAATAAAATCTATAGGACATTTCAAAATCAAATGGGGCAAAACCCATGTATTTTTCACCTCTACTGAGTAGATGATCAACATTGCTGATCCATAAAACTGAATGGCAATAATATCAAATGTGCCACCTCCTGAAGAGGATTAAAATACTGGATCATAGGAACTGCCAAATTGCTGGTCATATTTCTGCTGTCTTCACAGTTTAGAAAGTGCACTAAAAATAAGTTGTCTTGGTTCTAATATACAGATTTTTGTTTTTCAATGCAACAGCCATAGATTTGATTTTAGAGGGTCAGGTGAAAACACCCCACTAAACCACACAACCGTTACTGAATTTCTGAGGATTAACCTCAGTAATGCATATTCAAATATATATAGAAATTTACAGTCCTTACAGAAGATATTTGTTTTCTTCTGATTTCATTCTCTGCTGACATAAGTAGCAATTCAAGTTCCTTTATTTTCTTTTCTTTATCAGGATCATCATCAATAAATGGCTGCTGAAAAATTCAAGAAAGAAGCCATTACTATTTTTCACTTCCACCACCTCTTAACAGTAAAGATTCTGTATTATAACACATCTGCATTTTTAACAGGAATCCATGCAGAGAGGGAAGAGAACTGTTCAGGTTGTATCATATTTTGTAGTACAGAAGTCACTCACAACTGAAACAACTCCAATTACCAGGAGATGGATCTGATGTTAAAGTGGTGTGTAAGGTGGTATTTTAACTGGATTCTAATATGGCCTGTAAGTTTTCTGTGTGCTAAAGCACCTTCTAAAGTCACTATATTCTTATCTTTAATAGAGCCAAGTGCTGGCACACTGGTTTGTATGTTTGTGTTTCTCATTCCTTCCACAATTGCATGTTATTTATCCTCATTAAGTGTGCAAGAAAGTGTTCCAAATCAGCATTTGCTGACACAGTATTTATACAAACAATGCCACCACTACTATCAGAAAAGAAAATTAACTAATTGGTTTTGATTGGTTTGTTACCCTCCTTAACACCTTCCACTATTGCTATAAACATAGGTGAGGATATATGCTGTCACCAGTTTAGATACTACTTCAAGGAGCAGAAAGTATCTTATACTTTTCTGTGTAGGGCAATCCAGACTGTCAAAAGCCATCTGAGGCTTTGCTGTGACTTGTATTCTTATACCATTATCAGGGAAGAAAATACAACATGAAACAGATGACCTGCACAGGGAAACTTCAGGTAGAGAGCTCTACAGAATTCCTCTATCTAACACAAACAAAACATGTATTATTCCCTGTGTCAAAATACTTTTTACTAATCCCAAATTCACAAGAATTTGTCCAAAGCCTCATATTAGAAACCAAGATCTATATTCTGCACCACATGAGGAATTTTAGATATACTGCAAGTGAGTCCAAAAAAGCAAAAGGAAATAACATATCCAATTTCTATTTGTTTTAAAGTTGCTTAATTCTTCAGTACGTAGAATGCTGCAAAAGAACAACTGATTGAAAGATGTTTATCAGTGAGAAAGAAATAAAACCTAAAAAGCACAACCAGAAGTGTAAGTCACAGTAAAGCTGAGTTTTTCAGATAGGGTTATATTTATTACATACATGTAAATTGTAAAGCCTTGTTTGTAAGCATCTAATAAGCTAGGTAATACTAATATATGTCACAATTTAGCCTTAAGATTTAACACGTAGACTATGTTTTAAGCCATATTTCTGTCAGAAATAAGCACAAGCATCATGTTTCTGGGCTATAGAAAGAGCTTCATTTTTCCTACTTAAACTAGCAACTACACTAGCAAGCTTACCTAAGTTTATATAGATTCCTCTGTAAGTGACTAACAAAGACTAACAGACATTTTGAAGATACACATCTTTTATGAAGGCTATTAAAAATTTACCTGAACTATGTTGGAAGAAGATGGAGTATGTTCTAGACAGCTGCCTTCTGGTGAGGCATACTGATATGTTGGAATCTAAAAAACATAAAACATTTCACAAACCCTCAAGAAAAGAATATAAAATTATCTCAAGTTATTATACATAAATTATTTATGTTTTACAAATCCTGAGTTGCCATAAAATCACAAAAATAGTCAACAAATCTTCAGTCTTTCACATGTTTCTTGTTTCAAACCACTGGGAAATACTTCTTATTCTAAATTTTGAACTTACATGTGTCTGAACAGGCACATAAAACTGATTCTGAGTGTGCAAGTGTTCCATACTCAGACAAGGTTGGGGCTGAAGTTCAGCAGAACTAGCGCTTTCAGACTTTATAACACTTTGCAAATATCCTTCTTGTTCCACTTTTCTTCGCATTGTTGAATTCCAGTGATTTTTAATTGAATTATCAGTCCTAAAATGAAAGCATAAAACAGTGACTTGTTTCCATATTTCAAAATTTAATATATGACACAATTAACAGGGTTTGTACAGCAGCATAATCTGAAGCCACGAATCCAGAAAGGTCCAGCAGCTTAGACCAGAGGTTCTGTTATCAGTAGGGTTTTGGCCTAATGACTAGAAAGCTACTCTTTCTAGAACTTCATTCTACTAAACTTCAAGTGTGCTGGAAATTAAAAAAGGAGAAAGCCTTGGTTCTGACTGTAATCACAACAAAGAACCTTTCTTCTTAGATACTTGGAATCATTTCATGAACACAGAGTTATTTACCCTTCTGCTATAAATTTGCAGTATGTGTTGCTAAGAAAATCAGCGCACTGTCACACAGCATAATAAAGACACTTTGCCTGGTGTTTGCTACTGGGAAACATCTCTTCTAAAATTGACAGTCTGCAATTCCCATTCTGCATTTTATGTGCAGCTTTGTGGAAGAACATCCTACTGCCTCTTCATGCCCTTGATCATGGATAGGGCAAAACAGGCATGGCATTTTGACAAGCAGGCTGAAATCACTCCTAACACTAAACAAACATTAAGGCAAGAGTAGACAATGACTGCATTACTGTCTAAAACACTAGCATTATTATTCCTAGCCTTAGATAGAGGTACAAAGAAAAAAATTGGTTAAAGTCCCATTCTTCATTTAAGGTCACTCCAAGAAGTATTCCCCTTTTTCATCCCAGTACTGCTGGACTCTACAGATCTTCTATGTCTATGATATTTAGCAGTCTTTAGCTAAGAATGTCAGATTCATTGACAACAAACAAGCTAGTAAATAGGAATTCTTCTGTCAAACTAATCTTCCCTCTCCAAAATTCTATTTAGATGCAACCCAATCTCTTCTCATTCCTCCAAAGGATTTACTGTGAGCCATGGATTGTGCACTTCATGAAAACATAAAATTTTTAAGCACACATCCCTCATCACACCAAGGTAAAAAATGCTGACATTCCTCAGGCACAGCTAGACAGTCACCTCTTGAGCACACAAACTGAATTCAGAAAGGGCCAGCTTAGCACTGAATTTCAGTTAACGGTACAAGGTAAAATTATTTCAATCAACTCTTCACACACTAAAATTTTGTTTTCCACAACCACAGAAATTGGCAGTGAAACTTGAAAGAAATATAAGGCAAACAATGCATACAATTCATTCTTAACTTAGAGACTTCATGATAACCAACTAAATTTGCAATGCGTGACTTCTAAGTCTGGATTTTTGAAGGTCATTAAGATTTTCTTTTACAAGAGTCCAGTTCAATAAGTGCTACATTAAAAAAAAAAATCAGATCTTAAACCAGGAAAGTCACCTTCAAATGCATATTAATGAAGGCACTTGGAGATTAAGTTTGATATCAAATAATTTTTCTACTACTGCTTGCAGTAAATTCAGTCCAGCTCTATTAGAGAGGGTTTTTAAATGATCAGGCGCAATCTGAAGACACCTTCAAACCATTAGAGATCTTTCTATGGGTTTTACTTCTTTTTAAGAAGTAAATGCAAAAGATTTTTAGCATCTATCAAGATAACTATGTTTTGATGCAAGTCTCAGCAGATGCTGTCTAATTTGAAAGGGTACTGAGATGAGCACTTTTCTTAGCCCAACATTTAACACAAATAGAGTTGCAAAGCACCTTCCAGGAAGAAGTTTTGCTATTTCAGCCCATCGGTTTCCCAAACGCTTGTGAGCTTCATAGATTATTCTGTCCTCTTCTTCTGTCCACGAAGACTTTTTTACCTCAGGATTGAGATGGTTGTGCCATCTTTCTCTGCATTGCTTGCCTATTCTTCCTTTCAGGTGTTTTGCAATTAGAGACCAGCGCTTTGGACCATACTTCTGAACTAATTCAATAACCTGCAATACAGATGAAAGCACATTATAACTTCAAAACCTAATTTACCTAATCAAAGGCTGAGAACACTGATAAACACACATTTTAGAATAGCATTATAATACGCAACTGATATTAGGCCTAAGGAGGCAGACAGTGACTTGGGGGTTTAAAAACGATTTTTCAAGAAATCAAAAAATTACTACTCAAAATTCTCTGCGTTTAAACTATAAGTGTATACTGATGAAAATATTCACTTGGAAGTTTCCTTTCAATCACCCACTGCATAAGCTGACATTAGGAAAGCCCAAAAAAGAAACAGGTAAACATTTTGTTTGACTATATTCAACAATATTCCTACAAGGGAAGACCCACACCTCTGCATCTAGAAATGGAATGGAGGTTGGGAGTTTTCACAAAGTAGAAGCTTTTTCTTAAAAGACTAATGAGAACTATAAAAAAAATAGATTAGGAAGACCATATTTATAAATGACAACCTTAGTTTAAAATATCTTAGAACAGTTTTTAACAGTAGGAACAAGAAACCAGTTTGAAATACCACAAGAAAGCTGTATTTGTATCTCCCTACCAGGCAGTCCAGGTTGTGCAGGCAAAAGGCTACAGTATGGATTAACAACAGCAAGGTGAAAAAGGAGCCTAAAGCACTGATAGCTTCTTTACAAATAAATGATTTCACAGAATATTCTGAGCTGAAAAGAAACCAGAAGGATCATCGAGTCCAATGGCCTATACAGGGATCACTCTCACAACCTTGGCATCATTAGCACTATGCTCTAACCAAATGAGCGGATCTCAGGGTTGTAACAGTAGGTTATTAAATAATTTCCCTTATTCCCGAATCATTCAAGTTTGGTGGGTTTGAGGAACAAAAGATGTAAATGAGACCTTTGATCTTTAGAGCTACAAAGAGATCCTCCCCCTACTTGGTAAGCTAGAATAATTCAGTCAGCAATCTCACTAATGGGAAATTAAATGCTTGAGCAAACCTGACATTCCATCTACTTAAGAGAGAATTTTTTTCTTCTCATACATCATAATGCACTAAAAGTATCCATGTCACAAGATGCATCAGACATCAATTACATGGGAATGGAACTTAAAGTACACATTCTTAGCAGTCATATGCCAATTTTATTAAAGCACAGAGTATCAAATAGTTTTTGTTACCCTCTGATCCTCTTCTTTAGTCCAGGGACCTTTAATCAGTTCCGGGTTTAGTACCTTCTGCCATCGATGCTGGCACTGAAAATCTGAACGATTCTGAAACAGTTTTTGAAGAGCAATGTAAATGTTAAACCCTCGAATACACGAAGCTGTAAATACATTCTAGCATGAATTATTAGCTTACTTCAAATTAAAATACTTATTTAGAAATTTGTTCTAAGTACAATAGTTAAATTCTCCCTTATTATTTCTTATTTCATTTGCTTATAAAAAACTCTTCTTTGGAAAAAAAAAAACAAGCTTGCATGAAGCTCTAATCTAATTACTTCAATATACTAACTTGATAATCAAATTCAGAACTTACTCTTCTTTGAAGAAAAATTTGTATTTATTTTTGTCCTCATTACTCCACACTTTCTCTGACCTTTGTGGCTGATCTATTTTTGAACATTATCTATAACTTAAATAAGGGGAGAAATTTTTAAAGAAAATACTTTTTCTTTCAAATAAAAGAACACACTTTTTGCTAAATCCCAAATAAATGTATTCTCAGCTCTTTACTAGAGTGCTAAGGAAAACAGGTTTAGATCAAATTTAGTTAACATATACTAATTAAACAACACTGTTTTTGCCGGTCAGGACAGATGGTGCTTTTCTGTAGCTTCACTAAGGATCTTTTGAAATATTGTTCCCAGTTATGAAAGAGAAACCTTCACTTAGCCTCCTAAAAACTGTCTATATTAAAGGGTTGGTCCAATGCTTAGAAATATTCAGGTAAGAGCTGCCCCAGCACAGCATACTTCTTTAAGACTGGGACATAATTATTTACTTGCTTCAGTGCAAGCTGTTGGATAGAAAGGATTAATTGCAAGGTTTTGCTGTTCTTGTGTACCCAGTAAAGGTGTTATCATGCTAAGATGAAATCAATGAAGTAGCAGACTGCAAGACCAGCAAAAACACCCAGAACACTAACACGTGAAATTACACTGTTCACAGTACCTTCAAGCTAATTACAAGTAGTAACTGTATGTTACAGTACAGTTTTTTACAAAACATTATCGTTTCCTGTTGAAGACGAGCTGTAAAAGACAGACTCAATATGGAATAGCTGTTACCATTTGGAGAGAAAACATTTTAAATTGTGGCCTTTTAGTGCTTTTATCTTCCAGACATTTCTGAAATCATAATACGATTTGGAGAGAAGGGCAAAACAAATGATGGAATGAAACAATATTGTTTCAGTCTGCCTTAGCCACAAAAAAAATCAAAAGTGATTACAAGCTACACTCTCGCTCTTGCGAGTGACCTTGAAGCCATCTTCACTTTTTTTTCAGGCAGAATGGAGGGAAGGCTTACCTGTGCCTAGTCCAGCAAAGAAATAAAAGCACAGCAGTGTGAGGACATTTACAATTCAAGTTACCTTTGGTTTTCCTAGCAAAAGGCCATCAGCAACAAGTGTGAATTATGCCAGCTTCTATTATTTGGCTGTTGCAATAGGTCACCAAAAAAAGCTGTGCAGGCTTCATCCGTGGAGATAATCAAACCAAAACCCCATCCTGGGCAGCCTGCTCCAGCTGACCTTGCTTGAGCAGGGGCTGTGAACCAGATAACCTGCAGAAATTCCTTCCAACATCAATGATTCTGCAGCAGGCACCTGATTATGCACATTTCCTATGATGACTGGGGAACATTTTTTCAACCTCACTTTGGCCCAGCTGAACAACAGGTTTTTTTGTCTCCAGAAGTATTTGTTTTCAGATGGAGAATTCCATTAATTAAACTGTTAGATCTGCTAAATGCAACTCCATACTACACCTACATATCAGTATCACCAAATGTATTTTAAAACGGCTTAATATAAAAATTTTTTGATTCTTCTCTGACATCCACTCATTTCACTAATTTTTATAAGGGAATAATGTACATGTAAGGACTATGGACTTTCTTATGCATTACTTAAATTTAGAAGCTTTGAGTATATTACCTGATATCTATATTTTGTCACTTGGAAAAAAAATCAGAAGCATCACAGCTGCACAAAAATTTGATGAGAACAATGCAAAGTTATCATTGTTCAGCATTTAGAATTCAAGACCTTTTTTACCTCACAGTGGAATCTCATACAACTACATAATCCCACACAATACTGTAAGAACCTCAAAGGTAGGAGGAGTGTAATGTTTTGGTCTCTAATATTCAATATACAATACCACTTCTAGGAAGTGATTTCAGCCTTATATTCTACCACATTTTTACAGCAGGCATATTATAACATTTGTTCACCATCAATTCTAGTTGTTGGTATTTTCTACCATTATCTCAAGGAATCAGTCATCACTGTAAAAAAAATCAAATCCAAACAAACAAAAAAACCCAACAAACACGCACCATAAATAAACCACATGTGCCCCCTTGCCTATGGCAGTTAAAAAAAATCATCCCACTCCTTTCAAGCAATCTTTCAGATGCAACCCACTCTCCTAACTGTTTCAGAAGTAACCTGTGAACTGTGGATATAGCCACCATGAGTAATGGAACTGATAAGATACAGGAATATATTCTAAAATTAAAACAAATAGCAAGTGTGAACAAGGTATTTTTGATAATTTCAGACTATCACTGCAGACTGACCCCATAAGGCTTCAGCCTTAAGCTCTTCAAGGTCTGAGCTAGAGCTCAAGTCTATTTTAGAAGAATCCTCTAAAATAGTATTTATTATTTGATTCTGATTCCACTTCATTTCCAAGCTAGACATATGACCAAAGTAAATAAATACTAAGAGAACATAACTGAAGCAGAGATTCAACTTACTTGTAGATGACTAGCAATGAAAGCCCAATCATCTGTACCATTTTGTTCCACCAGCTTCTTTAGCTTTTCATCCTGTTAAGACATAATCTCAAGCAATAAATTCTACATGCTACCCCATTACAGTACAAAATAATAACATATTTCATGAGCTAAGAAGATCAGGTAAAGATCAGAGTAAAGCAAAAAAAAAGTATTACCTCTTCACGGGTCCATTTCACCTTGCTACATATCTTCTTCAAACCTTTTTGCTGTGGTACTTCATAGTCATGATCCATATATTGAAAGTCATCGTCTTCCTCACTGCAAAATACAACAGATGAGTGAAGAAGATCAAAATAGAGTTTAAAATACCTCTGAAATTTTTTCTAATTACTTGCAGCTTTTTTCCAATCTGTACATATTGTTCTAAAATGGCATATGGGATTTGCACGATCACGAGGTCTGCCTTCAGCAGTTCACCATGTCAAAGTACCAAATGAATTTTAATTTCAAGGCCACACACTGGACAGATAACTCATTCCAAGTCAAGATTTAAATTTGAAGTAAAAACCAGTTTTTAAGATTCATGTATTTCTAATACATTTTTTCATCTTTATTTTCATGAATGAACTTATGGAGTAGTTTGTTAGACTGCAAAATACATTCATGATCCACCTCCATAAGTGAAACAACAAACACAACAAGAATGTCAAACAAGTAAATCTCAACTTGAAATTACAAGTGGGCTCCTGACTTGACTAAAAGCGTTGCCTCGGTGGTACAGGACTTAGACACAAATCTTTGAAGCCAGATACGTTCCAGAATAAATAACTTCGGCATCAGGGCTGAGCCTCAAAGCACAGAGCCAGAGGGCCAGGGCAGCCGGGTACCGCTGCGGCTCCGCGTAGATCACGCTCCATCTACTGGGGAAACGCGGAACTCCACTGCCTGCAGAAACAAAGCCTTCCAGTCGGCACAGGGCATTTTTCATGGAATCGTCCCTGAAACTTCTGTCAGCGACTCATGCTAGCATAAATTCAAACACATGTGGAAACCTAACCCTAACAACAAGAGCTGCAGTGCCCCTCCATTAATTACACCAAAGGCACAAAGAATAGACTCCCAATCCAAACATATCACTTAAATTAAAAGCAGTTTAACAGTGCATTTTTTTTCTCTGTTTTATTATTGGTACAAAGCACAATAAAAATATCATAAATTCAGGTTCAAAACAAAAATTATTTCTGCTCACCCTTGACAACTATACTTTTTCAGTTGAAAGTATAAAAAAACCTTTCCCCAGTAATGAAATTAACCTGTGCTGGCATCCCAAGAACAATTCCATGGACCATCTCTCCATTATTTCCTAGAACATGCAATCAGCACCCTGATTAACGACTTACACATTATTTACCATTAAGTCTGCTCCTGTTAGCCACCAAGGACATACTTTATTCAAAAGCATTACCACAGGATAGTAAGTGCCCAAGTCCTGCAGACTTGCTTCTACATCCTACACCACACCTGCATTTGCCCAACTTTAGCTTCATGATGCATCAGTAAAACATAAGCAAATTAAAACTTTGCCGACTTACTTAAGACAGCAAACTTGTGGGAAGGTCAACAGCAAGTTCTTCATCATACTTTCAAAAAAAAAAACTGCAAACGTTTTAAGAGGTTTGCATTAGGTGGCTTAAGACTTAGAAAAACAGATCTTAAACATAGAAGCAGCAGTTTTTTCTGCCTCCCTACCAACTCCTCTTTTTTCTTTTGTCCACAGATATTTGACAAACTTCAGGGATCTATCTTAGGATTGCAATACTAAAATATAGTTCTCATAATACCGTTTCATACCAGGCAGGCCATACAGTTCACTTATAACTAAAATCAGGCCTTCTTGTAAAGCTCTCTGTCAACACGACCTCCTCACCCACTGCACAGCAAACTAGTCCTGAGCAGTCTCCAGCTAGGAGAAAAGTCAGGGGGATTCAAAAGAAGAGAAGGGCCCCACGTACAAAGCGGTGACGCTGCTGAGAGCGGTGCCAGACCAGGTGAGGCCCCACAGGTAGCCACGGTGCAGAGCCCTGCACTGGGAGTTCTCCGGGTGCACTCGTGTCCCACTGGTGCCTCCGTCAGCCAAGCAGGCATTAACCTCTCCTGCACCTCAATGAGCCTGAACAACCACTTAGTCCTGAGTCTTGTTTAGACTAGTGCTATGATAGACTATAAATCAAATCCTGATTAATGAGTGGGACTACTACTTCAGTTTTCAATTAAAAAGGCAAGATTTTTAAACACATGGGGTTGTTATAGTTCATTTGACAATTCTTTTGCAGTTATGAAACTGCTAAAATACTGCACTGAAGTGGAAGGCATCCACCAAGCTTCATCCAATAAGGCATCTGGGACAATGAGGTACATATTTTGTGAGATCTTTGCTAGCTGTCCATGCAATTCTGAGTTGAGGACCATTAAAAGAAAAAAATCAAACTTGTAAATGCAACAAAAGAGCAGTTTAAATTAATGTAAGGTTAAACTTAATACCATTTGGTGCAAAACAATTACAGTTTCTCCTTACTCCACACCTAGACTAAAAGTCTTGAAGTCACTTTCATGAAAACTCATAGCTTCAGTGATATAGTTTTGGAGATACCATCATCAGACACCAACACAACATCCGCCTCGGGCTACCAATCTCTAACCAAACCTTCCTCTGCTATCCACAACCCACTGTACTTTCAATCATGAAATCAAAGCACTCCACAGCCATGGGAGATAATACAATCTAAAGCTTGACAAAAATGAAACTACTGCGTGTAATACCACAGGTGAAAAAAGTCCCTTAAACTACAGAATGCTGATTAGGAGTGCCAAGAAACATGCTGCCTCTGAGCTATCTTGGAGACAGCCAAGCACAGACAGCTTCAGTAGTCTGTGAACACCAAAGCATTGCTTTCTTGTTTTAGTTGTCATTTTGCAGAAAAGTATTCTCTTATATTTTTTTTTCACGTCAGAGGAAAATGCAGAAGCAATTCTAATACGTGTAACTTTGAAACCACCCTTAATTCCATAAAAAGTATGCATTCACAACAAACCCCAGATGCCATAGATAACACACCAAGTATCCTTTCCTTTCTCAATCCTAATCCTTCTCTTACATCTCTTTATAACTTTCCACAAACTGATTTAAGACAAGAATAACCATAGAGACAAAACAGTTCTCCAAGACCCACCTTCTGCATACAAAGCAAAGACACGCCCATTTTCATATCAATATAACAAAAGATGTATGAAAGCTATCTAGGGCAGCTGCTGGAGCTCTTGTGCAAAACTTTATCTCTCAGGAACATTTCAGGCTAGATTGTGACTATATCAGCTGAGAAAAAGTAAGTGCATTGAACATATTGAAAGAATCAACAGGCCCAAACCTTACATCAAGGCTGTGCCAAAGAGAATTGTGAAGTGAAAGGGAAGAAGTGTTACTCCACCAAAAGAAAAATAACCAGCACGGAAAGCTACTGCGGAGACAGCGTAGTTGTTACTGACAAGCTCAGTTGCTCAGGTGAGTTACAAAAAAAAACAACCTGAGCGAAAGCACAGAAGCGAGAGCAGCTGCCAGGGGAAAGGCGGGATTTGCACCCGAGAGAAGAGATACCTGCGAGGGGGCCGGAGGGCGGAGGGAGCTGGGCAGTGACAGCCGAGAGCGGGGCGGTGGAAGGAGGCCGGGAGCAGCGGTGAGGGGCGGGGCGGCACCTGGCCGGGATCCCGGGGCGCGGGGGGAGCCCCTGGCCGGGATCCCGGGGCGGGGGGAGCACCTGGGTTCGGCACGGCGGCGTGGACGGCAGCACTGCCCGGGAGGGGATGGGGGCAGAAAGCGCAGAGCGCTCGGTCCCGCACTCACCTGCGCCGTCTCTCCGCCATCCTCGGCGCGCACCATAGGGGGGCCGCCGCGGCCGCGGGGCGCAGCACGGAGCCCCCGAGGCGCCCGGGCTCCCTCTCTCACAGCAGGGCAGGGACGTAGCGGGGCACCGGCGGCTCAGAATGCCTCCAGCCGGGCAGGGATCCTCCCAGGGCCCGCTGCTCCCCGCGGTGCCCGCAGCGCCCCGGCGGCCGCCTTCAGCCCCGGCCCGGCCCCGGCGCGTCAGGCATGGCTCGGCCCGGCCGCTGCCCGCAAGGTCGGGGCGCGCAGCGGCCCCGTTCTCGCCCCTACTGCGCCTCGCTCTCCGATGCTGTCAGAGCTGCCGCGGGCTCCGGCGGCGCCCGCCGCGCTCCTTCCCTCCGCGCCCGGGCCGCTCTGCTCCGCCGCCCTGCCCTGTGCCCTCCCGGCCCCCGCCGCGCACCGGCCGCCGCCGCTCGGGCTCAGCCGCCGGCGCTCGCGGCGCGCTCGGCTGGTGCCGCCCGAATCTCGCGCGCAGCCTCCCCCCCGCGAGCCGCCGTTTGAATCTGCGCAGGCGGACTGACGCCCCATTGGCCGCCGCCGACCGCACGCGGCTCCGCGCGCCGGGCGGGAGGGGCGGGGCCTCGCGCCGGCGGGCGGGCGGCGTGACGGGGCCGGGGCGGGGGGAGCGGGGCGGCCCCGCAACGCCCCGCCGCGAGCGCCCGCGAGCCGCCCCGCGCCGGCGGCAACGGCGGCGGCTCCCGACGGCAAAAGAGTGAGAAAGTAACGGCGGGGCCGCCCCCGCGCGGCAAAACCGAGCGCCTCCTTCGAGCCGGAATCGAACCAGCGACCTAAGGATTCCCGCGGGCCGCGCCTCTACAGTCCTCCGCTCTACCAGCTGAGCTATCGAAGGGAGCTGGCCGGCCCTCCCGCTCCTCGGTATAAATCCTGTTTTCCGGGTGCCGCGGGTGACGCGTGTTATAGCTGGAATTTCCTCCCCGAGAGCAGCTGGAGCATGGAGACGCTCTCCGGACGGACACACGGAACTGCGAGCGGCCCTGCCGCCCAGCGGCGCCTCCCGCACCCTGGCCCCGCCGCCGGCGGGTCGGTCAGCGCAGCGGGCGCGGCGCTCTCCGCTTCTCACGCTCCCGCGCCGGGGCGAGCTGTCCCGGCGGACGAGGGCAGCGCTTCCCGCTTCCCTCCCTTGCCGAAAAACCGATGTTTTATCCTTGCTCGCGTGCTGGAGGAGCGGGAAGCGAGGGTCTCATCCCTCAGCCAGCCAGCGCTCTTACGGAGCTCCTGCTCCAGCCACGGCACGGGTCTGTTGGGAAGAGGCCATCCCCAAATAGAATCAGGTTTGAAAAGACCTCTCAAGATTATCGAGTGCAACGCATGACAACACCACCGTCAACTGACTGTGGCACTGAGTGCCAAATCCAGTCCTTCCTTGAAAACCTCCACGGGCTACGTCTCAGGGCAGCCCATTTCAACGTTTAGTCACCCTTTCCGTGAAGAAATTCCTAATGTCTAACCTAAACTTCCCCTGGCACAGCCTAAGACTAAGCGCTGTCATCCTGTCACTAGTTGCCTGGAGGAAGCTGAACCCCACCTGGCTACAGCTTCCTTTCTGGTAGAAACACATCGCATCCTCGATGGCTGTGCAATGACCTCCTGAAGCTATCACCATCGTGAAGTAAAAGCTACATTCCAGCAGAACCTCTGTGTGTTCCAGGTATTTTCCTACACGAGACTTTAGCTGGAACTATAGAACAATTAGGATTGGAAGGGACCTTAAAGATCATCTAGTTCCAGCCTCCATGCAATGGGCAGGGACACCTTCCACTGGACCAGGTTGCTCAAAGCTCCATCTGACTTGGCCTGGAATGCTTTCAGGGATGGGGCATCCACAACTTCTCCAGTGCCTTACCACCTTCAGTAATTGGTGGTCATTTTTTCCTAATATCTAATCTAAACCTATTATCTTTTAGTTTGAATCCATTCTCCTTTGTCCTGTCATTACATGAGCTGTTCCAGTTATGCTTTAAATTGTATTTAAAGAGAGGTGCTCCACTCCCTTAAACATCTTTGCAGCCCTCCGCTGGACCTGCTGCAGAAACTCCTTGTCTCTCTCGTCCTGAAGAGCCCAGAACTGCACACAGCACTCCAGATGTGTAGAGGGACAGGATCACCTCCCTCCACCTGCTGGTAGCGCTCTTCCTAATGCTCCCCAGGGTACCACTGGCCTTCTTGGGCACCACGGCACACGGCTGGCTCATGGGCAGCCTGCTGTCCTCCCGGATGGAATACACAGAAGTTATCTGAATAAACTAAGCCGTGTGTGGAGTCTATGCATCCCCACAGCCCCGGGGATGTTCCCAGTGCGTCCCCGCAGCCCCGTGGATGTTCCCGGTGCGTCCCCGCAGC